TCTTCCTATAGCAAGGAGACCAGAATTGCACACAGTATTCCAAAGTGGCCTAACCAATGTCCTGTAGAGCAGCAACATGACCTCCCAACTCCTATACTCAATGCACTGACCAATAAAGGAAAGCATACCAAACACCTTCTTCACTATCCTATCTACCTGCTACTGCACTTTCAAGGAACTATGAACCTGCCCTCCAAGGTCTCTTTGTTCAGCAACACTCCCCAGGACCTTACCATTAAGTGTATAAGTCCTGCCCTGCCTTGCCTTTCAAAATGCAGCACCTCACATTTATCTAAACTGAATTCCATCTGCTACTCCTCGGCCCATTGGCCCATCTGATTGAGATCCTGTTGTACTCTGAGGTAACCTTCTTTGCTGTCCACCAAACCTCCAATTTTGGTGTCATCTGCAAAATTACTAACCATACTTCCTATGTTCACATCCAAATCATTTACATAGCACCAATCCTTGCGGCACACAGCTGGTCACAGGTCTCCAGTCTGAAAAACAACCCTACACCACCACCCTCTGTCTTCTACCTTTGAACCAGTTCTGTATCCAAATGGCTAGTTCTCCCAGTATTCCATGTGATCTAACCATGTTAACTAGTCTATCATGAGAAACCTTGTTGAGCGCATTACTAAAGTCTATATAGATCACGTCCATTGCTCTGCCCTCATCAATACTCTTTGTTACTTCTTCAAAAAACTCAATCAAGTTCGTGAGACATGATTACCCATGTACAAAGCCATGCTGACTATCCCTAATCAGTCCTTGCCTTTCCAAATACATGTAAATCCTATCCCTCAGGATTCCCTCCAACAACTTGCCCACCACTGATAGTTCACCAGACTATAGTTCCCTGGCTTTTCTTTCTTAAATAGTGGCACCACGTTAGCCAACCTCCAATCGTCCGGCACCTTGACTATCAGTGATATAAATATCTCAGCAAGGGGCCCAGTGATCATTTCCCTAGCTTCCCACATTTGGGCCACACCTGATCAGGTCCCAAGGATTTATCCACCTTTATGCGTTTTAAGAGTCCGGCACCTCCTCTTATGTAATATGAACATTTTTCAAGATGTTGCTACTTATTTCCCCATGTCCTATATCTTCCATATGCTTCTCCTCAGTAAACATTAATGCAAAATACTCATTTAGTATCTCTCCCATGTCCTGCGGCCCCACACATAGATGACCTTGCTGATCTTTAAGGGGCCCTATTCTCTCCTTATTTACCCTTTGTGCTTAATATATTTGTACAATCCCTTTGGATTCTCCTTAAACCTATTTGCTAAAGTTATCTCACATCCCCTTTTGCCCTCCTGATTTCCATTTTAATTACACTCCTACCGCTTTTATACTCTTCTAAGGATTCACTCAATCTCTGCTGTCTATACCTGATGTGTGCTTCCTTCCTTTTCTTGACCAAAGCCTCAACTTCTCTAATCATCCAGCATTCCCTATGCCTTCCAGCCTTGCCCTTCACCCTAACAGTAACTATCTCTGGACTCTTGTTATCCTCAATTTTGAAGGCTTCCCACTTCCCAGCCGACCCCTTACCTGCAAACATCCAGCACTGATAAACTTTTGAAAGTTCTTGCCTAATACCTTCAAAATTAGCCTTGCTCCAATTTAGAAATTTAACTTATAGATCCGGTCTATCCTTTTCCATCACTATTTTAAAACTAACAGAATTATGGTCACTGGCCCAAACTGCTCCCCCATTGACACCTGTCACCTGCCCTGCATTATTTCCCAAGAGTAGGTCAAGTTTAGCACCTTCTCTACTGGTATATCCACATATTGAATTGGAAAATTTTCTTGTACACACTTACCAATTTCCTCTCAATCCAAGCCCTCAACTCTATGGCACTATGTTTGGAAAACTAAAATCCCCTACCATAACCACTCTATTATTCTTACAGATAACTGAGATCTCCTTACAAATTTGTTTCTCAATTTCCCACTGATTATTGGGGTGGGGGGTGCTCTACAGTACAATCCCAATAACGTGGTCATCCCTTTCTTATTTCTCAGTTCCACCCAAATAACTTCCCTGGACATATTGGCCGGTATATCCTACCTAAGTACAACCGTAATGTTATCCCTAATCAAAAACACAACTCCCGCTCCTCTCTTGCCCTCCTATTCTATCCATCCTATAGCATCTATATCCTGGAACATTAAGCTGCCAGTCCTGTCCATCCCTGAGCCATGTCTCTGTAATTGCTATGATATCCCAGTCCCATGTTCCCAACCATGCCCTGAGTTCATCCGCCTTACCTGTTAGGCCTCTTGAATTGAAATAAATGCTGTTTAATTTATCCTTGTTCTCTGCTTTCTTCATGCCTACCCTGACTTACTCCTTTTCCCAACTGTACCAGTCTCAGACTGATCTCTTTCCTCACTATCTCCCTGGGTCCCACATCCCTCCACAATTACTAGATTAAATCCTCCTGAAAAGGTCTAGCTAATCTCCCTGGCAGTATATTAATCTCCTTCCAATTCAGGTGCAATTCGTCCTCCTTATACAGGTCACTTCTACCCCAGAAGAGATTCCAATGTTCCAAAAATGTGAATCCTTCTTTCCTGCATCAGCTCCTCAGCTACGCATTCATGTGCCTCTCCTCCAATTCGTACTCTCACTAGCTTGTGGCATTGGCAGTAATCCAGATATTACTACCCTCAAGGACGTCCTTTTTAAATTTCTGCCTAACTTCCTATATTCTCTCCTCAAAGTCTCATCCTTTTCTCTTCCTATGTTGTTAGTTCCAATGACTGCAACGACTCCTGCTGGTCCCTCTCCCCTTTGAGAATATTCTGCACCCTGTCTGAGATATCTTTGAATCAGAGATAGTAGGAACTGCAGATGCTGGAGAATCCGAGACAACAAGGTGCAGAGCTGGATGAACACAGCAGGCCAAGCAGCACCAGAGGAGCAGGAAGGTTGACGTTTCCTCTGATGAAGGGTCTAGGCCCAAAACGTCAGCCTTTCTGCTCCTATGATGCTGCTTGGCCTGCTGTGTTCATCCAGTTCTGCACCTTGTTGTCTGAGATATCTTTGATCCTGGCGCGAGGGAGGCAACACACCATTCTGATTTCTCGCTGTCAGCTGCAGAAACGTCTGTCTGTGCCTCTGACTAGACAGTCCCCTATCACAATCTATTGCTTGGAACCGGACATACCTCTCTTTACATTAGAGCCAGTCTCAGCACCAGAAACCTGGCTGTCCATGCTACATTTCCCTCAGAGTCCATTACCCACTACATTTTCCAAAACAGCATACTTGGTTGAGATGCGATAGCCACAGGGTACGCTTGCATGACCTGCCTCCCTCTCCCAACATTCCTGGAGGTAACTCATCTACTGACTGCATCCGCAGTTCTTTCAGTTTTTACTGACTGTATCTGCAGTTTTTCTCCCTTCCTACAACTGCCATCCATCACGCCCCTTAACTTCTGTAACTTTCTCATTGCTTCTAACCGATCCATGTGATCCGATAGGATTCACAACCAAACACACTTCCTGCAGACAGAATCATCAGTAAAATGGAAATTCTCCCTACTCTCCCACATCCAACAGGATGCTCAGTGTGTGTCCAACTGGCACTCCAACCAAACAACACTGACTGTGAGGAGCTGCAACTGGTCACACGTCCTGCAGACACAGTCGTCAGGGCCACTAGACTGCTCCCTGATCTCCCACATCTGGCAGGAGGAGCACACCACTGCCCTAACTGCCATCTCTGCCCCTTTATGTGAAGAAAGATAAAACAATCTTACCTTGATCACCTGCAATGACATGATCTACTACGATGTCCGCGTATTCGTGCTGTAAATAAAGTATAACAGTGATGTGTATACGCCCTGCATTATATTTCTATTACTTACTGTGTGTTTTTACATTGATTTTAGGAGGTGCGTTGATGTTTTTACATAGATGTTTTTGAGGGATTTTGATGTCTCGCTTGGTCAGGTCTACTGCGGTTATGCATAGCTCTTGATTATCCGGAATATTGGATTAACCGGTACGATTAACCTGGTCCCATTGATGCTGGCTAATAAAATGTTTGCTGCATATAAAATTATAATTGGTATGAATAGGGTGGTTAATCAGAGTCTTTTTCCTAAGGTGGAAATGTCAAATACTAGGGGCATAGGTTTAAGGTAAGAGGCGAAAAGTTTAAAGGAGATATGTGAAGTTTCGTACATATAGGCTGTTAGGTGCCTGGAACGCATTGCTTGGGTAGGTGGTAGAAGCGGACTTTTAGCAGGCATTTAGACAGATACATGAAGAGACACGGAATAGAGGGACATGGGCAATATGCAGGCAGATGGGATTAAGTTAGTATAGGTTGGGTTAGTCGGGACTGACTGTTTCTGTGTTGTACTGTTCTATGTTGTGTGTTTTTAGTTGAGAGAATTTGGTGTGAGCTAGACTGGGTGGTATTAGCATACATGTGATTATGTTATCAAGACTAAATATTTAAATGAAAAGTATGAGGAAGTCAAGGATAGATTATTGGGCATGCCAGAGGTAACTGAATGGGAGTAGGTAGAGAAGCCATTCCAGTTGACAATCCTCATTATTCATGTTTGGTGCAACAGGCATATATGTATGTTGTATGAAAGGCCCACTGAGTTAATTATAGTTCTCTATGTACAATTTATCATTACACACTATTCATGTTATTTTCTATGCAGAATTTGTTACTATCCTGATATAATAGTAAACAAGCCCTACTTTCTGTGTTTCTATGTACATAGATCCACTTGTTATTTTAGGATCATATTTATTTTTCTGTACACAAGCTTTGTTGTTGAAGCAACATAATATCTTGCATTTACTTTTTAACGGCTTTGCAGATAGAGACAATAAATACTGCAAAATAAAGTAAAGTTACTCAGAGCCTTTTATAAATATCAATATTTTTTATTACAGGCCAACTGTCTGGTCATCTTTACATTTGCAGAAATGAGGCACTTCACCTTGTTTCACATACCAATCCTCAACAGTCACTTTCTCTTATGGTAGCTAGGATATTTTAGTTCAAAGTCTGGATAGAGAGATCACTGGATTCATAAATTACTATGTCTGTAACTGCAGCATTAAAGCTAATAACTTATTAAAAAAATTCAAATTTTCTGGTTGATAACACGGCAGGAAAGAAAACTGCCGAAAGAGCTGAGGGGGAAATTACTGACAAGTACAAAGTTGGAATAAATCAGAAGAACAATTATGCTTTTGCTGTCTTGGGCACAGCCTGCTTTCATTTATTATTAGAGCAATGGATTTCCATCGGCTTCCAGCGGTGTGTTTAGTGATGTCGAGTGAGAATTTATTTTCTTGAACATCCTGGATATGGTGGGGGTGGGGTGTACTGCAGGGAAGCTTGAGGTGTGGGCGTGTAAGGTGGTGGGAGATCCACAGGATAATCCATCTCATAGTCATAACTGTAAGGCGGAGGAGGAGGGACTGAAAAGAAAGATTGAGAACAAAACAAATGAACTGAGGTGGCAGCCAACAGAATTTACAAAACGATGACTGGAATATTTTTAAAAAAGTAAGTCTACTCTGAAACATTGTCTACAGCAAAAATAAATTGATTTAATAAATCATTCGCTAGCACTAACCTACACACAGCATTTTAAAATGATAACCAGTAAAATTATAAAATTATCCACTCTAATTGAATAACTGGGACATACTTTTTCTTGCATTCCCGATTTAAAAAACATTTTTGTTGCTGGTAGTTTCACAGCTATCCAACACAAATAAATGAATGGATTATAGGAAAGTTATTTAGATGCTCATCCTGTCATCAGAGTTTCTGCCACATAAATACTTTATTTAGTTATTCATATTCATATTTATTCATTCTAACTTGCTTGACATGATAAGAGTCCATGGTGTCAGGGGTAAGGCATGGGTAAAGAATTGGCTGACTGGCAGAAGGCAGACAGGAGGGATAAAGGGGTCTGATGACTAGTGGATTTCTACAGGGATCTGTGTTGGGACCACAGTATTCATGTTGTACATTAACAATCTGGATTAATTGATTGGTAAGGGTATCAAGGGTTACGGGGAGTAAGCAGATGAAAGGGTTTAAGAAACATATCAACCATAATTGAATGGCGGAGTAGACTCTATGGGCTGAAGTGCCTAATTCTGCTCCGATATCTTATGGTCTTATGTGTGTCTGTTGACTGATCCATGCAGCTCTATAGACCAATAAGACAGGAGGACAGTAGCGACCACTTCTGGGATTAGAAACAGTCAAAAGAAAGACTGGGGATTTTAGTAGCTATGGGAATGGAGTTATGAAAGAGGGTTAGAAAAGCTAAAGTGAAGGCACAAAAGGGTGGTATCATCCCAGGGTTGGGGGTGGAGGGGTGCCTCAGATTGGCACTCCAAAAAAGAAATCCCACCTTCCTGCTCAATAGCAACTTGCACTCAAAACTGCCAGTCCATTTGGCTTCTTCCATTTTCCCCTGCAGTACAAAAATTATAATAATGAGCTACTGAAGCCTATCTGCCTCCTTTATGTAGGGTCAGGTTGGCAATGGGCAAGATGACAGCTCGCTTTCAAATATGCAAGTGGTTGGGCAGGTGGGGGATGGGTGGTGATGGTGGTGGTGTGGCATGGCATAGCAGTAAAATTCACACTGGAGGAGAGTAGACAAACTGTAGAAGGAGCTGGGAGTACACAGCACATAGCTCGGAGTACACAGTTTAACAAACTGTACTTACAACCTTTTACACACATTGAAATTAATGTCATTGCTCTGAAATACATTAGCTATAAAACAAAGTAGTAATGAGAGCAGAGATAGT